GGATAGGATAGGAGGTTAAGGGTGACACAGCCTTTAACCTTTCTCTTATAGCTATGGATGATGAGTTTACTTTACAGCTTTGATAATAATTCAGTACCGATGTCCTCTCCACAAGTCCTACTCCATGTTCTTCAGGTCTGAAATCTGATTTCTTCTGTTCTGTTGACAAAATGTTCTTAATCCAGCCCGACATTGACGCGAGAATCCTGCAAAACACAGAGCAATGAATGGCACTTAAACATAAAGCTCAACGTCTTCTCCAAAATGTATCAATTCAATGCCAAGCAAACAGCAAAGGAGAAAATAACTATCACTTTGGGGTCCCCTATAGCCTAGGAACTATGATGTTAACAGATACGGCGTATATGGAAGCACGAAAAACTTTCAAAACAAGTCGGAGGGAGGAGGAGGAAGTAAAATACTAAGCAAAGAATATAACATACCTTAACTTCACGAGAATGAACAGTTAAACTCGCTGAGTGTACCATTCTAATTTAGCAAGGTTATCAGATCGAAAAAGTTTCAGTATTACTATAAGTTGAGACCGTTTTCGTCGCCATGGCGAGGGGGAAAACTTTTTTGCGACTTGATTTGCGGTGTGTGTCGAAATGAAAGCTTATGGCACATGATACATTCGTTCTAAAAGAGAGGATACTCTGAAATTAAAAATAAACTCGGAGACATTTCATGTATAATGACATTCGATTCTCGAAACTCGAAACCCGAAACCCGAAACCCGAAACCCGCGCCTCTAAACTCTATCCACGATCTTCGATTGTTTCTAGATGATCAAATTTCGTGTCGAGACTGTCAAGTCAAAAATTAGCGATACTGTAGTTTACAGCGTGGCCTGTACCGAAAACGAAAATACACAAACCTACCGGTCTATACCAGAGTCCAGTTTGCTTTCCATCATTCCCATCACTTCTTTCTTCTTTCGGACGCAATCGGCATAAACTGGAGAAGATCTGTGCAGAAGTTTTCATAACGTGATCACGAATTTTAAGAGACGACATGAATAAGTTTTATGCTAGGCAGCCGTTTAAGTTGAAATGTGGTTCAAATGGTAAAACTAGTTTAATCCGTTCACAAAATTCATCTGTGCCCCCATTGCATTGGTTTTGCTTTCCTTCACTCTGTGATTGGTCCAGAAGACTCGCGCCACTCTCTCGACCAATCAGATGCAAAAGTAAAACTAATCAAACTTGCTCGCTTGCGTTTTCCCGCGCTTTTGGCAACTTGCTTTGTTTTTGCTTTACTCCGCTCTGTGATTGGTCCAGAAAACTCGTGCCAGTCAGATGCAAAACTAAAGACCAATCACGACCTGGTCGCCCGCGCTTTAAGCAGTTTAATTGCTTTTACTTTGAGTTCTCATTAGCCCTTCGGGGGTTTTTCCTTCCTTCAAAAACTACCCACAACAGTGTACAATATACTTACGCCACTAGTCCTATCACACAGTCCGTGAAATGTTTCTCAAAAAGATGAAAGATGGCATTCGCTTGCTCAGACACTTTGAAAAACAGGCCCTCTGGGGGTGACTTAGGTTCTGCCGAGGGTATTGCTATCGATTAAAAAAAAATCGGTGATAAGCTCTCAATAAAAAATTGAGCCAAACGTGACCTAACGCAGTAAAGCCATTACTTGAGACGCTTCCTAAAGAAACCATATAACTCTTGGCTCCTCCACTAAGAGGCACGTATGAAATTAGGACACTGACCACGATCGCAGAGAGTAATCTAACCTTTCGAAAAGTGTCTTGCTCAGCAGCGCGTGACGTAAAAGACGCCGTATCCTCTTTCCCCACCTATTAGTTTTCTTTTTTAACGATTAGGAGCCGCACATGAAAGTATTAATGATTTTCTTGTCCGAAAACTATGAGAACAGTTGTTTGAGAACTGGACGATGAGGTTTTGGTGCGCGGCCAGGTAAATTTTCGATCGGTTACGTTACTCTTTGTAATATCAAAACGCAGTTAGGTATTAATGCTCTATACGGTTCGCTCTATATGGTTCCATCACTTAACGAACTGTTTGAACAATTACGAGCTGCCTACAAAGGCATCCTTAGCTTAAATAATTTTCGTAATCGCAGAAAACTAAAAGAATACTTTTTTGGTGAAAAGTGGTTTGATTGGCGTATCGGCCAAGGTACATTCACAAAAGCGGCACTCACAGTACAATTTTTCGCATATTCAAAGAAAATATACGAATGGTTAAGTTAATCCGGCTTTGGAATCACAAAAGGCAGTAAAAGTGTTTATGTCAATTATAATGTATAAAAACTGATTTCTAGGGCACAGTTCTCCTTTAACGGAAAAATAATGTACCCAGACCCAGTTAACCTTTCGTAAATAGTAAGCTTAGTAAGATACCTTGCAAGGTGACGTTGATTGCGTAGTCAATATGCTCAATACAGAGATGATAAAGCAGCTTGAGATAGATTTCTACTCCATTAGCTGCTATGTCAGACGGAGAAGACAACTACGAGAAAAACAGTGTAGATCAGATTATAGTATACTGACTGGGTTCGTAACATTCTCGCGAAACAAATTTCCAGGATTTCCAGGACTCGGATTGATTTTTCCAGGGCTCCAAATTTCACCTTAAACCCTTTCCTTCCCAAGCTTTCAAAATCAATTCTTCTTAGGGTCAAATTCTGAAAGCTTCATTACTTGAGGTAAGCAGATTTCCAGGACTATCCAGGACCTGCAGTCTTTATCCAAGACTTTCCAGTCCTGGGAAATGTCAAGGACTTCCCAGGTTTTCCAGGACCCCTACGAACTCTGTATGTGACAAAAAAAATTCAAATATTTGATCAGCGAATCATTCACCGTATCATTTTAGAGGGAGTTTGAGACAATGTTCCAGATGTGTGTTGTTCGTCTCTTTATCTACTACATATCATACAGTGATCAACATTTTCTTCTCGTGCTAGTTTCATGAGAATAAGAACAAAAATCAAAACATAACAGGACAAAATACAAGGCCATTTTCTCATCCTCACCAGCTCACATCTTTTCAAAGCCATTTTGTTTTCTTGCAAAAGACTAACGGCCACATCTTGAGAAAGAAGAGTATTTTCCTTGGTGGATTCCATGGAATTCGCGTGCATTCTAAGAGGTATCCTTTTAGAAATTTCCGTACTCAAAAGACTGAAAAACAAAAAAAAAAAAACAGAAACCGGAAAAATATTATTGAGAAGAATGTTAAGAGTATTTCAAGACGAGAGTACATTAATGTTTTAATTCAAATTTTTAACTGGTGTAAAAGATCTGGGAAGAGTGAGAAAGTCAAATTTTGGACACATTTGAGGACATCTTTTTTTTTTTTCAAAAGCTTACGTTACTCTTTGGAATCTTAAAAAGTGTTCGGCTTCAAATCATATCATGAATGCTTTAAATGATGACGATTGAAAATCAAACGGTTTCAGGGGATCAGTCTCATTGCAGTACAGGCGTTTTTTTTTTCCGGCGAGCGAAGGCATGTGTGAGGCGAGCGAAGGCAAGTGTGAGGCGAGCGAAGGCATGTGTGAGGCGAGCGCGATAAGTGAGACACGCATAAGAGGAGGAAGTATTGGATCAATTAAGCAACAGTCACGTGATAACAAGTTCGGGTTAATATTAAGTTACTGACATTGATCGAATACTTCCTCCCTTCACGCGAGTCTCGCTTCTCGCGCTCGCCTCACGCATTCCTCCGCTCGCTTAAAAAACGTAAAAAATTACAGAATAGAAATATTTAACCTTTTGTATACCAAATAAGCTTGCCTAAAAAGTAAAAGCTTTCGGCTAGACCTCTAGCCTTGATCACTTAGTAACCTCGCCTAAATCGGCGAGATAAACGGATGCGTGAGTTCGTGTCGGGGCACAACTATCCGGTTACCTAACCGCTTTAGGCGAGGCTACTAAGTGACCAAGGCTTGAGGTCTAGCCGAAAGCTTGTACTCTTTAGGCAAGCATATCCGGTGTACAAAAGTTGAATTATTTCTATTCTGATTTTTTCCCGGATATATGAAATTCCTAGATCCTATTCGTTGCAAAAAATGACGCCTGCTCTGCAGGGCTAGCTCCAATCTTCCCGCTTCAATTTTCTCGCTCGCACCAGCTTTTCGCTAGTTCCCACAAACTGAATGCCTGAAAAAAGCTGAATTGATGTTTACAAAGTAAACATCAATAATCAAATTTAATAAAGACAACAGGCTTCACGGGTACCTCGCACCAGTTGGCCTGTCCCTTTTTTCGTGGTTTATAAAATGGTAGTACTTCTCCAAAATAGCAGCTGATTTCTCTGACAGGAAGGTTACCTCTGTCCTACGACACAAAAGTAGTAGTGTTATGTAGTAATGTCAAGTATTGCTTATGTTGTACAGTATATTTAAACAGCAAGAATCAAGAGCTTCTACTTTAAGGGACTCTGAAAGAACTGTAAGTGCTCGATTTGTTGTATAATTTAGACTACGAGCAGTCCCTGCGTTTCAGCAAAATCTGTTATGCGACTAAAAAAAAAAAAAAATGAGTGAAAAAATTTATGTAAGCGTGCAGCACGAACTCTGGGAGTGAAGCGTACGAAATGGCCCTCACTCCTAGAAATCTGCGCGGCGCGCTAATATAATTTTTTTTTTCCCAGATCGATTCTTTTTTACACGCGCGACGGACTTCGCCGAAAACGAGGAAATGCTGAGTCTACGTACAATTTTACGACAAACCTTTCTAGGCATTCAGAAGTACCCTATGGGAACATTGTCTTCAGAGTTTTAAAGCCTGATAGTTTTTAAAGAAACTGTTTGGGGCTGCGTCGGTGGGGGTAACGAAATAATTTGGAGATATCAACAAAGTTGAAAAGGTAAATTGGCCACCGTAACGATTACAAAAGCTGACGTTTCGAGCCTTAACCCTTCGTCGGAGCGAATAGAGGAATTGAGTTGTGTGTACTTTTAAAGGCAGAAAATGGAGCTACGTTATTGGTGGGAACATGGCAACGAGAAAAACACGAATAAATCAGTGTTTTTTCTCGTTGCCATGTTCCCACCAATAACGTAGTTCATTTTTTGCCTTTAAAAGCACACACAACCCACGATTCCTCTATTCGCTCCGACGAAGGGCTAACGCTCGAAACGTTAGCTTTTATAATCGTTACGGTGGCCAATTTACCATTTCAACTTTGTTGATATATCCAATTTACTTCAGAGTTTTACACCGGAGCACAATTTTAGCAATGCTTTCCTTTCACTGTACGTGGAAAAGTGTCCTACTAAACTGGCTGTTAACTGCTACCTACTTGATGTACGATGACAAATATTCACCGAACAAATTTTTTCTAAGTCTTTCCAGAAAATTGGAATCTGATCCAAGTTTATATCCAGAAAGTTTTTCTCCAAGTTTCTTGGACCTGTATATGCGGATAAAATGAAAAAAGATGTCAAGTTCAGCAGAGCTGGTCAGAACAATCTCACTTTTAATTGCTGGTGCAAGAACTACAGCGTACATGGAAGTAAAAAAAGGACAAATAATATTGTGGTCATTACCTTTCATACAAGATCTGAAGGTTTTTTAGTGATTGTTCCTTGTCTGAGCCATAATTTCTGAGTGTAGAATCCACATGTTTCTGCCAAGAAAAATCAATCACTGTTATCAATGAAGGGTAAATGAGGTTGGTTGATCATGGTAAAATACTCGTAACTATTCCAGGGATAAACGGAGCTGAAAAAAGTAATAGAAAGGCTGATAACAAACAAAACTCAACTTTTAAGCAACATGTACAAATCAAATTACTTGAAGTTAAAAGAAGAAATTAATGATTCTAAAGATTCTTTTCATTAGTTGGCAATCAGTTTTAAAAGATATAACAGGTGGGGGAAAAAAAGACATCACGAACTACAATTGTTTATACCTTGAGCACATCCTCATGAATATTCTGCACTAGTTTTCCCATTACAACTTCAGCATTATTGCCAAACACTTTGTTAACGATGTTGTGGACTCGTTCACAAAGCGGGATCACATCTTTAAATACATCAGAGGACAGGAACTGCCCCTTTTGTGGAACAAACATAACATGAGTACAATAAAACCTGCAAGGGCAGATTTCATTTCCTTTCCATTGGATTCTTAAGCAAGATACCTTACTGCATCCAGTGCAGGCCCCTTGTTAGAGGAGATTAATGCTACAAGCTTGAGCTCATAATCTGTTCTCCAACAGGCCATGTTTGATTAAGAATTAGGGTAGACAGTGATGGTGAAGGGGTGGGGAAAGATGAGAAGATTTCCTCACCCCCTCCCCCCTCCACTCTTCCCTTCCTCCTGAAAGTCCCTTACCCCTTTGGTACACATTTCTTTCTCTCCCCAGCTTTTAAAATATAACTAAAGGAGATCTTCTGACATGGTGATTTTGTAAATGAGCTTCTCTATAACTGAATATTAATAAAAGCCATACGATATATGTATCAAGAGATACCATTTTTTACCTTTTGACTTTGTTTGATGAAGGAATCAATACACTGAGAGTAGCCCTGTGAAAGAGTTATTCTTTGGTTAGAAAAATTCCATTCATCACTTCACAATTCATATTTTAAAAAGTCTTTTCCAAAGAGAACTTTTTCAAAAAGTATCTTTTGCACAAACTGATAGTCAAAGGCTTGAAATGAGGATAAAAGCCCTTGAGCCACCAGTAACTAAAAAACCACCAAAAACAAGGAAAAAATGGTTGAACAGCCAGCTCCTGTCTCACTACTCACCTTAAATGGAAGCAGAGTCTCTGCACATTCTCTCATACCACTGACGTTTCCCTGATGATGGGCTTCTTCAAATTCTTCAATCAAAGCTACTTCCACTTTATCATGGCAGTCTGTATGTATAAATCCTTAGTTACTAACAATTTTAACTCTGTGAAGTGATTGACATGTAACTTCTTCCTATAATGCCCATATGTAGAGGTAGTGGGGATGATCAAACTTATCAGTTAGAAGTTGTCACCTTGATCTAACACCAAATTCTTGTAACTTATTTATATGGAAATGTGTGGCAACAAGAGGGGAGAATTGACAATCAGTCCTTAGAAGTAAAATGGCTAACATGTATCAATACTTTAAGTGATCACACTTTTCAGTTAAAGTGTTTCTGGTTTGAATGTTAGATTGTCACTTTAGTGGCATATTGGATATCATGTTAGAGAGGGGAAACAATAAATATTTCAAAGAAACAAAAATTGAATTACTTGACATCTGCTATCCTGTTTGTGGATTTGGGTGGATATTTTCATTTTACTTAAACAAGATGTTCTCCTATTTTTCTACAGATTAGAATCAACAATTAAAGCTGATCAGGAAAGGTAAGCAAAAGTAGAAATGACATGGTTTATTTGTTTCACACCAGCAGGTTGATATTGGACCCAAAGAGCCCCATTGGTATAGTGTTTAGAATAAGAATAAGTAAAAATTCTTAATTTTTACAGTTTGCCACTGGCATATTTCAAACTGGCATATTTCAAACAAACTAATATTGAAAAATATTGAACTATAATTATAGGATCTCCCTGGAAACTAGCAGACTTAAAACAGGCACATGCTATAAACTGCATCTTATATGGATGGGTAACAGCCAGGGCTCGACACTAACGGTAGCCAACTAGCCCCAAACTAATAGAAATTCAGTTTTGGCCAGTGGTTCTCGATTTCCACAAGCCAGTTTGGCTAGTAAAAAAACTGAAATTGTCAGAACAACTAAGATGTCACTAGCCACTTGGCAAGTTGAAAAGTTAGTGTTGAGCCCTTAACTGCCCTGATCATATTATTTTCAAGTACGGTAATGGTTTTGTATTGAGGGGGGCATGGCGGGTTCTGAACACTGCAACACCGCAAACAAAATAGAACAAATACCGCATTATCACAAGAAATATTATCAACACACCGACACTGCGACATTAAAAAAGTCTCAGGATTTAATGAGTCTGGTTTCACTCATCTTTATCACATGCTGGTCTCTGGTTGGCCCATAGTGCTTGTGGTAGAGGTCCAGAGGTCAAATAGGGGCCAAGCAGCTACTATTTATTAAAGATTAACTTGGATGTATTGCTCATTTTGTTCGATGGGTTATCAAAATCTGTTTTTTTAAGGGTTGAAGAACAAACTGTGACACTGGAATTGGTTACTGATTCCAACGAACACTGTGGGTTTGAAATTAAAAACATTGTACACCTTAAGGTTTGAGATCACTCAAGGCTGTGCTCTAAGAAAAATTGAAGGGAGCCCAGTGCTCTGAAACTGTGAAATCCAGGGTGCCCAGCATATGCTTTTTATGAAAAGACTAAGATTCCTGATTTGCCCAAAAGCAAAAGTAAGGTGCCATGGGCCACAGGGTGCTGTTAGACCATAGCCCTGTCACTGCAACACTGCAATGCCAGTTGACACTGCAATACTACTTTGAAAAACCAGTCAACACCAGAAACTCCAATGTCCCCCTCTGTGTAGTATATTGGCCCCTACATTGCATACCTACCTTTGATTTTCTTTTTGACAGTTTCAAACCTAAAACCAAATAAATTGTACTCAGTGTGGTCGCGTTAACTTTTTGGTACAAACAGTAAAAGCACTTATCATCTCTTAATGGTATGATCTCACTCAAATATCCATTTCTTGACATTGTAGAAAGGTAGCACATTCTCCTCAGTTATTTTAAGACCCCGAGTGTTGGTCCGGCCGGGACTTGAACCCTCAACCTCCTGCACAACAGTGCGGCGCTCTGCCAATTGAGCTAACCTAGAGGCGGTAATTTCTAACCCCTTATATCATTGATAAAAATGAGTCCTACATAATGTGTCCTACCTCTCAGAAGGAAGTTCTTGAGCAATAAGTGATAGCTTTTGTATAATGTTTGCTGCTTCATGAATCTGCAGCAAAAAAGGGGAAAAATTGTACCATTGATTGGCCACTGGAGTTTAAGTGTATTATTGCTCTGTGGAGCTTATTTTTCTACCATCAAGGACTGTCTGCAAAAATTGAAACTCATAAAAATTCTAATTCAGTAACCTCTTACCCTAAACTGGTCACTAAAAACAGTTGAGATATGTTTTCCTGAAGCAAACTCATCAAAATATTTCATGAGTTCCTGAGCCTCAATCGCTCGAGACCTTGGAACATTGATTCCTTCTAACTGGTCTCCCAGATGAACAACCTTGGTAGCAACATAGTTTATTCGGTCATCCAATTCTTGAAATAGGGAGGATGCAGTCTACAATGAAAGTTAATAAGTCGTGAATAAAGTGTCACTATCAAAGCTCATAAATCAAACTAGGTAGTTCTAAATGTAATTTTACCCAACAATATTTAAACAAACTACATCAGAAGAACAGTTTGATATCCAAACAAATTTCAGAATAACTCCTTACACCCTAATATTGACATTCATATTCTCCATACTGTTCTCTTTACATTTCCTACCGTGCTAACAAGGAGAATTTGTTTGACAATCAGGAGCTCCTTTAGTTTTTGATCATTTCCTTCACTCTCTTGACCTTTACAATTGATTCAAAGTTGAAAATGTAAAGAGAAATTAGAAGTCAATCACTCTTAGGAGTTAAAGAATTAAAGCATTCACAAGTACCTTAAAAGTTGATTCTAGTTCTCGGGATTTCTGTTTGTGTTGTTCCTGTTCTTTCCCACAGAGTTCTTCAAGTTTGTTGATCCTTCCTTGCATCTTTTCATCAAGAGCTGTCAGTTCTTTGATAGTTTTTTCAAATACATCACACAAAGTTCTAGGGTCAAAGGTATCAGCTCCGCCCTTTGACCCTCCACCATCCACAGTGCTTGCCAGACGCTCCACATATTCAGAGGCATCAAACTCCCCCTAGTGTTTGCATTGGAGCAATGGATTTTACGATGCTATGTACTAGACTGATAACTTACATCTGACAAATATCGGTGCATCACCGTTGATAGCAAGATACAGTGTATTGGCTCAAAAGGAAAGAGTATAACTTTCAAAAACAATAAATGTATGGTAGTTGAAAAGTTTTGTCATCGAAACAAATGTGACTTGTATGACCTTCCCATACACTTGAAATGGTCATTTACAAAACAACAACATAAGATAAGTTGCAGGCATTTGAAGTGGATCTTATTTCTGGGGTCAGAGGCATCGATGACATGACAGATAACAACATTTGGTTTGTAATCAAATAAAACAAATAGATTTCATGTTACAGTGGGTCTATACAGCAGCAGACCACAGACGACAACAAAATGTGGTTGTAGGAACATCATTGACACGCTCAGCTGTACCTCATTTGCCACTTTGGTTCTAACCACATTTAGACACCATCCGTGATCTATTACTGAACGGACGCAAAGCAGCTTGGAATCTGTTTGTTAATCAGTAAAGTCTCACAAAGGGTTAGGTTGGGGATAAACAAGTTATTTCCTTTAAATATTGGAAATAGGGAAGGAACAATCAGTCTCTCCCCCTTTTAGACCAGGAGGAACTAGGATGTATACTGAACTAATATTTTTGAATGTTGAATGCAAAAAAACTTTTCTAAGGGGCAGTTTTGGAAACCATTTCCTTAAAAAAGTAAAAAAGAAAAACCTTTTGACATCCGAAAAACAAGAAGGTGACACATTCAGTAAGTTCATCTCTACAAGCTTTTAAAGCCTCTAATAAAGCCCGGTAGAATTAAAATACAACAAACCTCAAATTCTTCGAATGAAGCCATTCTGGAAAAAGAGATGTGAGGAATTTACGATGCCAACATATCGAGCACTACACCGCCTCTGTCCGCCATGTTTGTTTTCGGGCGCCGCGATCGACTGGTTCTTAGTTTCCCTCGCAAAACCTGGAGGAACGCCTCGTGGATTTGATAGGTGTCAAAGTTAACACATTTGGCTGATTTGTCAAGATAAAATATTAAAACATATCAAATTACTTCACGCCACCCTTGTTTACCATAGTTTAAAGAAGAACCACTTGTAACAATAACATTCAGCGAACTAGTTAGCCAGAGACTGGAATACTTCCGGGAGAAAGACACAACAGTTACATTGTGTGACACGATCGTACAATACTTTGCATGCTGGTCGGAGTAACGTCGTCCATGTACGAACAGGATGATCAGCCACTTGTTGACGATGATACGCCTTCAGATCCCAATATCGACTTAACCAAAATGGAGCAGGCTTCTAATAGCATTGCGGTGACTGAGAATACAGTAAATCTGACAGAAAATGAAGACGAAAGGTGACCTCAGCTTTGCAATTCGCGTTTTAGGTGTGAATTTAGCACTAGAGCTGATGCTGGAATTCAAACGGAAGTAACATCGCACCTGATTTCCACGATCCAGTTTTTACGATGCGTTCTCATCAAGCATCATAAGATTTGATACTTCATTTAAATTTAATTTCTTTGAAGGATGTGTCGTTTTCACTTGTAGGCCTTGTAACGATCACAGAGAACAGCTTTGTGAAATTCTTCACAGCAGAAAGGCTCAATATGTCATCATAACATTGGTTGTCGTGGATATGATCATTGTTATTGCAGAATTACTCATTGACTTGAAAGCAGTCGAAGGTGGGCAATTATCTATCGACGTTTGTGTTTTCATTTGTTTTTGCTTTTTATTTAATGCCTTGGTAGAGAGAAATTAGCTTTTTTAAAACGTCATCGTATTGTTGCTTATACAGTGCTTTGTTTGGGTAAGAAGACATTTGCTTACTTGTGTTAGTTCTTTAGTAATGACAAGCAGTGTAAAATTACAAGAAAATTTGAAGTGCTTTCTTTCTACTGCTAAAGCTTTCAGGAGTGATCAAAAATTAATTTTTCTTTACAATATCAATACAATTCAAGCATATTGACTGATCTGTGTCAATCATAATTTTGCTCTCTAACCATAAGACTATACCTTCAACAGTAGCTTAAGGTGTAATTTAGTAGTCTCATGTATCTGATGGTGACCTTTGCAGTAATGAACACTACTTATAATGAGTAGTAGTGAAAATAGGACCTGAAAAAAATTCATATATACTTAGTCTTCGATTTATCACTTCACTGGGTTATAAGAACTGACATGATGACCAGCTCCCAGTTGGCTCATTAGCTCAGTTGGTAAAGCACTGCACCAGTATTGCAGAGTTCATGGGTTCAAAACCAGTACAGGCCTGAATTTATTTCAGGTCCTATTTTCACTACTACTTAAGTTAAGTGTTCTTTACCGTGAGGGTAGCTTTCATATAGATTCTTAAAACCACAGTGCAGGTATATGATTTTCATATAATTTTTAGTCTTTAGTAATCTCGCTTATTTGTTGCAAGTGTCATCGGGTTAGTGTTTAACCCATTTCACTCCCCTGAGTGACCAAGACAGAATTTCTCCTTACATATGCCAATACAATATAAGAAGATAAGTAATGAGAATAAAGAAACTAGGGAATTAAATTATTAGTTGATCAGATACCAAATTCTCCAAAGTAACATCATAAGAGTTGTATGACAGACAGTAGGGAGAATTACCAGTGAGATCTCGTGAGTGAAAGGGTTAAATGTAAGTATAGTCAAACCTGTTAACTGAGTAGCACGGTATTAAACAGTCACCCTATATCAAGTGGTTGGTCATCAAAGTCTCAAAATTTTTTTCTCCAAGCACTGTAATTATTTTTACCCCTATTAGGCGGTTGTGGTCACCCTTGACTGGATCCCAACAGCCATTTTTTTTGTCTTGCACTTGCTTTGAACAGTCGCTTAAAGTGGAACCACGCATCATAAAATAGAATTAAGAATAATCTTTCAAGTAAAATTTATTCCATATGTTATCTTCCGGAATTCATGTTAGTACTTTGAGTTCAAATGTCCTCAACACTAAATACAGATTATCTTTCTTCTTTGTATTGCCAGAACAATTATTATGAATAAACATCAGGCAAGTCATTTGCTGGTCAACCTGTTTTAGCGGTCAACCTGTATTCATGGGTGACCACTTAACACAAGTTCAACTGTCTTATTTAAAGAATGGCTATGTATAGTCCAATCATGTTATTGACTTGTACACTGAATATTATTTCCTGTTACAGTTCACCATGAGAGCCATGCACCACACATCCTGCATTACATCAGCATTGCCATCCTGTCAATCTTCATGATTGAGGTACAACTGTATTATCAAGATAATGTTACTCATAACCTCAGTGTTCTTCTTTAGTGCTCTGCTCAAGTTTTCCTTAACAACACCCTCTAACGGACAAACTTGTCTGTTTTCACAGCCTGTTTGCACACAGGGGGCCCATACAATCTGTTTGTGTAGCCGATTGTTATTTTATAGTGAATGTACCAGACTTACCATTTGNCACTGCAATACTACTTTGAAAAACCAGTCAACACCAGAAACTCCAATGTCCCCCTCTGTGTAGTATATTGGCCCCTACATTGCATACCTACCTTTGATTTTCTTTTTGACAGTTTCAAACCTAAAACCAAATAAATTGTACTCAGTGCGGTCGCGTTAACTTTTTGGTACAAACAGTAAAAGCACTTATCATCTCTTAATGGTATGATCTCACTCAAATATCCATTTCTTGACATTGTAGAAAGGTAGCACATTCTCCTCAGTTATTTTAAGACCCCGAGTGTTGGTCCGGCCGGGACTTGAACCCTCAACCTCCTGCACAACAGTGCGGCGCTCTGCCAATTGAGCTAACCTAGAGGCGGTAATTTCTAACCCCTTATATCATTGATAAAAATGAGTCCTACATAATGTGTCCTACCTCTCAGAAGGAAGTTCTTGAGCAATAAGTGATAGCTTTTGTATAATGTTTGCTGCTTCATGAATCTGCAGCAAAAAAGGGGAAAAATTGTAACATTGATTGGCCACTGGAGTTTAAGTGTATTATTGCTCTGTGGAGCTTATTTTTCTACCATCAAGGACTGTCTGCAAAAATTGAAACTCATAAAAATTCTAATTCAGTAACCTCTTACCCTAAACTGGTCACTAAAAACAGTTGAGATATGTTTTCCTGAAGCAAACTCATCAAAATATTTCATGAGTTCCTGAGCCTCAATCGCTCGAGACCTTGGAACATTGATTCCTTCTAACTGGTCTCCCAGATGAACAACCTTGGTAGCAACATAGTTTATTCGGTCATCCAATTCTTGAAATAGGGAGGATGCAGTCTACAATGAAAGTTAATAAGTCGTGAATAAAGTGTCACTATCAAAGCTCATAAATCAAACTAGGTAGTTCTAAATGTAATTTTACCCAACAATATTTAAACAAACTACATCAGAAGAACAGTTTGATATCCAAACAAATTTCAGAATAACTCCTTACACCCTAATATTGACATTCATATTCTCCATACTGTTCTCTTTACATTTCCTACCGTGCTAACAAGGAGAATTTGTTTGACAATCAGGAGCTCCTTTAGTTTTTGATCATTTCCTTCACTCTCTTGACCTTTACAATTGATTCAAAGTTGAAAATGTAAAGAGAAATTAGAAGTCAATCACTCTTAGGAGTTAAAGAATTAAAGCATTCACAAGTACCTTAAAAGTTGATTCTAGTTCTCGGGATTTCTGTTTGTGTTGTTCCTGTTCTTTCCCACAGAGTTCTTCAAGTTTGTTGATCCTTCCTTGCATCTTTTCATCAAGAGCTGTCAGTTCTTTGATAGTTTTTTCAAATACATCACACAAAGTTCTAGGGTCAAAGGTATCAGCTCCGCCCTTTGACCCTCCACCATCCACAGTGCTTGCCAGACGCTCCACATATTCAGAGGCATCAAACTCCCCCTAGTGTTTGCATTGGAGCAATGGATTTTACGATGCTATGTACTAGACTGATAACTTACATCTGACAAATATCGGTGCATCACCGTTGATAGCAAGATACAGTGTATTGGCTCAAAAGGAAAGAGTATAACTTTCAAAAACAATAAATGTATGGTAGTTGAAAAGTTTTGTCATCGAAACAAATGTGACTTGTATGACCTTCCCATACACTTGAAATGGTCATTTACAAAACAACAACATAAGATAAGTTGCAGGCATTTGAAGTGGATCTTATTTCTGGGGTCAGAGGCATCGATGACATGACAGATAACAACATTTGGTTTGTAATCAAATAAAACAAATAGATTTCATGTTACAGTGGGTCTATACAGCAGCAGACCACAGACGACAACAAAATGTGGTTGTAGGAACATCATTGACACGCTCAGCTGTACCTCATTTGCCACTTTGGTTCTAACCACATTTAGACACCATCCGTGATCTATTACTGAACGGACGCAAAGCAGCTTGGAATCTGTTTGTTAATCAGTAAAGTCTCACAAAGGGTTAGGTTGGGGATAAACAAGTTATTTCCTTTAAATATTGGAAATAGGGAAGGAACAATCAGTCTCTCCCCCTTTTAGACCAGGAGGAACTAGGATGTATACTGAACTAATATTTTTGAATGTTGAATGCAAAAAAACTTTTCTAAGGGGCAGTTTTGGAAACCATTTCCTTAAAAAAGTAAAAAAGAAAAACCTTTTGACATCCGAAAAACAAGAAGGTGACACATTCAGTAAGTTCATCTCTACAAGCTTTTAAAGCCTCTAATAAAGCCCGGTAGAATTAAAATACAACAAACCTCAAATTCTTCGAATGAAGCCATTCTGGAAAAAGAGATGTGAGGAATTTACGATGCCAACATATCGAGCACTACACCGCCTCTGTCCGCCATGTTTGTTTTCGGGCGCCGCGATCGACTGGTTCTTAGTTTCCCTCGCAAAACCTGGAGGAACGCCTCGTGGATTTGATAGGTGTCAAAGTTAACACATTTGGCTGATTTGTCAAGATAAAATATTAAAACATATCAAATTACTTCACGCCACCCTTGTTTACCATAGTTTAAAGAAGAACCACTTGTAACAATAACATTCAGCGAACTAGTTAGCCAGAGACTGGAATACTTCCGGGAGAAAGACACAACAGTTACATTGTGTGACACGATCGTACAATACTTTGCATGCTGGTCGGAGTAACGTCGTCCATGTACGAACAGGATGATCAGCCACTTGTTGACGATGATACGCCTTCAGATCCCAATATCGACTTAACCAAAATGGAGCAGGCTTCTAATAGCATTGCGGTGACTGAGAATACAGTAAATCTGACAGAAAATGAAGACGAAAGGTGACCTCAGCTTTGCAATTCGCGTTTTAGGTGTGAATTTAGCACTAGAGCTGATGCTGGAATTCAAACGGAAGTAACATCGCACCTGATTTCCACGATCCAGTTTTTACGATGCGTTCTCATCAAGCATCATAAGATTTGATACTTCATTTAAATTTAATTTCTTTGAAGGATGTGTCGTTTTCACTTGTAGGCCTTGTAACGATCACAGAGAACAGCTTTGTGAAATTCTTCACAGCAGAAAGGCTCAATATGTCATCATAACATTGGTTGTCGTGGATATGATCATTGTTATTGCAGAATTACTCATTGACTTGAAAGCAGTCGAAGGTGGGCAATTATCTATCGACGTTTGTGTTTTCATTTGTTTTTGCTTTTTATTTAATGCCTTGGTAGAGAGAAATTAGCTTTTTTAAAACGTCATCGTATTGTTGCTTATACAGTGCTTTGTTTGGGTAAGAAGACATTTGCTTACTTGTGTTAGTTCTTTAGTAATGACAAGCAGTGTAAAATTACAAGAAAATTTGAAGTGCTTTCTTTCTACCGCTAAAGCTTTCAGGAGTGATCAAAAATTAATTTTTCTTTACAATATCAATACAATTCAAGCATATTGACTGATCTGTGTCAATCATAATTTTGCTCACTAACCATAAGACTATACCTTTGGCAGTAGCTTAAGGTGTAATTTAGTAGTCTCATGTATCTGATGGTGACCTTTGCAGTAATGAACACTACTTATAATGAGTAGTAGTGAAAATAGGACCTGAAAAAAATTCATATATACTTAGTCTTCGATTTATCACTTCACTGGGTTATAAGAACTGACATGATGACCAGCTCCCAGTTGGCTCATTAGCTCAGTTGGTAAAGCACTGCACCAGTATTGCAGAGTTCATGGGTTCAAAACCAGTACAGGCCTGAATTTATTTCAGGTCCTATTTTCACTACTACTTAAGTTAAGTGTTCTTTACCGTGAGGGTAGCTTTCATATAGATTCTTAAAACCACAGTGCAGGTATATGATTTTCATATAATTTTTAGTCTTTAGTAATCTCGCTTATTTGTTGCAAGTGTCATCGGGTTAGTGTTTAACCCATTTCACTCCCCTGAGTGACCAAGACAGAATTTCTCCTTACATATGCCAATACAATATAAGAAGATAAGTAATGAGAATAAAGAAACTAGGGAATTAAATTATTAGTTGATCAGATACCAAATTCTCCAAAGTAACATCATAAGAGTTGTATGACAGACAGTAGGGTGAATTACCAATGAGATCTCGTGAGTGAAAGAGTTAAATGTAAGTATAGTCAAACCTGTTAACTGAGTAGCACAGTATTAAACAGTCACCCTGTATCAAGTGGTTGGTCATCAAAGTCCCAAAATTTTTTTCCCCAAGCACTGTAATTATTTTTACCCCTATTAGGCGGTTGTGGTCACCCTTGACTGGATCCCAACAGCCATTTTTTTTGTCTTGCACTTGCATTGAACAGTCGCTTAAAGTGGAACCACGCATCATAAAATAGAATTAAGAATAATCTTTCAAGTAAAATTTATTCCATATGTTTATCTCCCAGAATTCATGTTCGTACTTTGAGTTCAAATGTCCTCAACACTAAATACAGATTATCTTTCTTCTTTGTATTGCCAGAACAATTATTATGAATAAACATCAGGCAAGTCATTTGCTGGTCAACCTGTTTTAGCGGTCAACCTGTATTCATGGGTGACCACTTAACACAAGTTCAACTGTCTTATTTAAAGAATGGCTATATATAGTCCAATCATGTTATTGACTTGTACACTGAATATTATTTCCTGTTACAGTTCACCATGAGAGCCATGCACCACACATCCTGCATTACATCAGCATTGCCATCCTGTCAATCTTCATGATTGAGGTACAACTGTATTATCAAGATAATGTTACTCATAACCTCAGTGTTCTTCTTTAGTGCTCTGCTCAAGTTTTCCTTAACAACACCCTCTAACGGACAAACTTGTCTGTTTTCACAGCCTGTTTGCACACAGGGGGCCCATACAATCTGTTTGTGTAGCCGATTGTTATTTTATAGTGAATGTACCAGACTTACCATTTGCCTCACCTATAGCGATATATAGGTGAAATAAACGTTGAATTACCTTACCTGTGGTGTATAGTCGTCCTTTTGCCTCAAAAATGACTTTTTGAGGGATTTTGAATGAGTTTGAGTTCGTCATTAATGTGATACATAAAGAAAGACAAGGGTGGAAGCCTTGTTTTGAAAGGGTTCTAGCACCAGAGCGATTTTTCCCTGGAAAATCGCATCGCTCTGCTTTCAAACTTCGCAGCATTAAGGTAAAAAGATTCACGATTCTCCTCGTACCTTTCAATCGAAAATCCATCCAAACGGACCAGAGCTAGCCCTCAAAGAAAATCACAATCCCACAGCATTTTAGTGTCCAGGATACATAGCAAGATTCTCATGTGCCAGCCAGAAACTGTCACGCTGATTGTCCTTTTCTGATTGGACGACGTTAAACAATGACTAAACACCAATGGTTCCCCACCCTCATTAGATATTTTGAACTGGTCATCGTTTAACGTCGTCCCATCAGAAAAGGGCAATCAGCGTGTGGTTTGCAGATTAAAATATTTGGGTTGGGTGGAGAGGTCACTTTTAAACCACTTACGAGAGTTGGAAAATTAACAGAATAAATTATACACAAAAATGTATACCATAAAAATTATTAATTTCAACTTCTCTCTCTTTTTTCTTTCTTTAGTTGTTTGTGAAGATCTATGCAATGGGACTCACATTTTTCAAACACAAAATGGAGGTTTGTGCACTTGCAGTGAAACTTGTACTGTTTGTATCGAGAAATTGTTGCTTGTGCCTGCGTGATGCATGGTGATTTGTGCTAAACAAGAACAAGGCTGTGCTCTAAAAAATTGAAGGTAGTTCAGTACTTGGAAAGTGTGAAATCCAGGGTGCCTGTCATATGCTTTTTATTCAAAAAAAAAAAAAAACCTAAGCTTGCTTTAAGTCACTCAAGAGCAAAACTAAGGTGCCAGGGACCACCAGGTACTGCCAGAGCACAACCCTAGAGAAACAGTTCATTATTTACTGGTGGTTGGTAAAGATTAGGACTACTATGCTTTCCTAAAGACTTACCTGGATAAATTTATATACCCCCCTCTCCTCTACTGATCCTGCATTAGCTTAGTGATCTGCCCCTATTTTTTCACCAGCTCTGCTCCCCCCTCCACAGTATTAAAATACTGACCAGTCTCAAAATAATAATCATTTGTTAAATAATATACATTTGTGTCCCAATTATAACAGAGTTGGCATAAATGCTCATTGATAGTTTAGTAACCTTTTGAATCTGGCCATTCTGACTAAGTAGACTAACAGTTAGCTATACTTGTAAGAATAACTATTCCTAATTACTATAGGCTGAGGTAAAACAGGCAACCTCAAACAGTCACTGAGTACAAAGTGAGACTCAAATTTATGTTTTATTGTCTGTTCACTAAACAGTGTATGGTTGTGGTAACACACACACTTAGTGATGGTGTTTGTGTTTGTGTTTGCTTAGCAGGGTTAGGCATGTGCAGAATACAAGTTAAGTTTACAGTTAAATTAGTAATATTGGAGAGAAAATCTGGGACTTAGACTAGCATTTACTTTATACCAGGAGTCTAAGTATGTAATATGGAGTCAGTGAGATATGGGTTCCACTGAATTACATCATCTATGTACAAATAGTTAAAAAGTATAATTGAAAATTTACTGAAAATTACAACAATTTTATTATGATTATTTTCTAGGTATTTGATGGAATTGTAGTAACAGTATCATTTGCCTTGGATATAGCTTTCAGGTTGGTCAACTTAGTCAGAGGCTGGCTTTTGTTTTCTGTTCCTTATTTAGTTTTTTTTTTTTAAATTTCAAGACCAATTCCATTTTGTCAGCTGTACCTGTGATTATGTGCCATGCAGGATTCATGTTGTATCACATAACTTTGTTTTGCCTTGGCATTGATTGGATGCAATGAGATAAATTGATGCCTGCTTGATCTTGTTTTTACAGTGGAAAAGAGGGAGCTATTGATGGAATAGGTCTTATTGTTCTCCTTCGGCTTTGGAGAGTCACAAGAATTGTCAATGGTAATGTTTGATTTTGCATCTTATGAATGAATTCGTTGGTACAAAAGCATCTAACAAGATTCCAGGGGAATGCATTGTGTTGTTTTATGTATTTGTAATGTAAACACTATTATTAAAATCTGGATCATTGGATAATGCAATTCGAGACTTTTTATTGGCTTAGCCATTATGGTATATCAGCCAATATACTGGTCATAATCTAATATCTATACATTGTAACTTCTGGTTTCTTCTTACAAAGTAAAGTCGAGAAGATTTGTCTAATATCTTAGGGGTGTTTTTTTTTAAAAAAACAAATTATTCCATGAGCGCTTGTTGGATATGAGATGATTATAGCCAACTCGGCGCTACGTGCCTCATTGGCTATCTATCATCTCATATCCAACATGCACTCTTGAAATAATTGTTAATTATAGTACATTTTATTAACCCAGCTTTACACCCTAACAACAGTATGCATTTTCTCCATAAGATTCTCTTTAAGGTGCTGACACATTAAGGGCAGGAGAATAAAGGAAAAGATTACAAATTAAAAAACTCTCAATTGTCAAACAAATCTTCTAAGTCAGCACCTAAGGAAATGAATGGAGAACGGGGTTGAGGATGTGCAAACTGATTTTAAGGTGTAATTAGGGTGTAAAACAAACACCCCATGATCTTAGTTTTGGTTTTGTTGGTCAGTCAAATCACAAGCATGTTATAAAGTCGTGTAACATAGTGTGGTGAAATTGACAGGTCTAGTTTTGTCTGTGCAAATACAAGCCGACAGGAAGATTCAAGTGTTGGAGAAGGAAAACAGTGAGCTAAAAGAAGAACTTGAACAGCTGAAATCCAAGTGTGAACAGTTAGAGGTATTGACAACAATAATTGAAATGAAATAACAATAATTGAAATGTAATTTCAGAATGGTAACAGAAGTGCAATGTGGCAAGTTAAACAAGTATGTTCATATGAAATATTTAATTAGCATTTATTTTGCTTTTAGGTTGAGCTGAAAACATTTCAACATGAGACAGTCTCTGATGCAATTAATGGAATTAAATGTGATTAGTAATCTGACAGCCAGATTTAATGAAGACCTGCTGATTAATTGAATGACTGACTGACTTATCAATAAATTAGGACTGACTGACTGGATGAGTGACCGATAAACAGATAGAGAGACAGAAGAATAGAAGAATATATATGTGGGAATGTCTGAACCAATGGCTTGCGAATTATATTATGATTATATTAGATATAACTATTTTTCAGAAAAAAGTATTTTAATTTATATTAAATTGTCATTATTGATACCAACATTTATCAATTTTAATATATCTTCAGACATTGTCTATTTTACGCATAGTGTGTACCTGAAACTCATGATTTTACAACAAATCTGATTTGTGCAAGAAATCAACATAATATGTAGAAGAATGAAAAACTCACAATACTTTGGATTTCACCTTTTTATAGCTGATCTATTGAAAAATGAGTGAAATTTTTTCGATGATCAACTACCTTTAAAGAATATTTCTTTGATTGTCCAAGCAATCCAGATAATATAGATAGGATAGAAATAGTGTAGTCATATGATTACCAAAATAGTATATTTTTGTTTTGTCTATGCATCCCCCAATGCGAGCTGCATACTCTGGAAACCCCTGCATTCATGTTGAAAGTTTTACCTCAGAGATCTTTTCTTTTCCTGACTAGAATGCACCATACCATATTTTATCATTGAAATTGTACAATGGGATGAGTTTTAAGAAGGCACAGTTCAAACCAGGTTTTTCAAACTTTAGGCAACTATGAAATGTGTTCTTTTCAAAAAAAAATATTGCAACTCAGCACCACACAGGATTGCTGATTATTTTAATCTGTCTGATAGAAAGGTATTTTGAAATTCAAATTACTGAAAAAAAGCAATGGGATTCCATTTCTTTTTCTTTCTTTTCATTTATTTTATTTGTTAATTTATGTTGCTTTACTTTATGGAGGAAATGTAATCAAGAACATTTTAGAGCCATAAAGAAGGTAAAACGTTTTTGTAAATTGTGAAAATAAAGCAATTCTTTCGGTATTGAGTTTTAGCATTTCAACTATTTTGCTTGTTTAGCTAGTTTTTGTATGGCCAATCAAGCTCTACGAAAAGTCCGAATAAAACTTTGCAAAATGTTATTCAGACTACAACAAAGTTATTTCGCGACAGTTAATCCATGATGCACGCTCTCAACAAGTCAAGTTCAAAGTGAACGTGCGCAAGTCACACGTAATATATACACGTTAGAATCAAATAAAATTTTAAAAGCGCTTTTCGATGGAATTTCTTGTAATCAAACCAATTTAATCACAGGAACAAATCAGATAGGCTCAATTTCCGCCGCTCTCTCGGGTTCGGTGTCTTTTGTTCCTCTCCGAGAAGAGGAGCGTGGGCTCCGGTTCCCAAACAGCGGCTGGTAATCGAGCCTACCAATCAGAGCAAAGAATTTATCAAAAGGGGCTAATGAGAGCTCAAGGTAGAAAAATAAAAGCAAACTGCCTGGAGAGAGAGCATTTCGGAGTTGGTTTTAGTTTTGCATCAACTGGATGAGAGAGTGGCCGGACGAGTTTTGTAGAGTAATCGCAGATCGAAATCAAGCAAACACAACCAATTCAGGATTACCAGTTATCATATAAACGGCA